ACCAGGGGTTACGGCATTTCCTGAACCAATCCTAAATGCTTATAGCAACATGAGACCTCTCCAAAGCCACAGCTCAGTTTGAGCTACTCTCATACCTGTCACATCACATTAGTGCTAGACCATGCTTTCACAAGTATTAGACAACATACATTAGAAACTTCTTTTACCCCATGTTCTGCACCACCAAAGTAACATGGTACTTTGGCTTACTCAGGTAAGTGTATTTCCACTGCACTTTTCTCTCTGGCACCCAAAGACACAAATATCACATCCAGAGATGCTCAAAAAGCAGTAGAAATTTCGAATTCCTTTACTAGCAATAAAATCTGTGACTAAGCTAAAAAAATGGATCAATAAACAGTCTCCTCTTCTGTAAGGCGCCACAAGGTTTTTGATGTCTACAGATGATCAAGGTTAAAAATGCACCAAATCTTTACTTAAAAAAGACCCTTAATCAACTATAAATCTTAATCAAAATGGTCAAATAATTCATCTGTATGCCAGAGGACTCCCCAGAGTCCAAGTCTCCAGTCTGCCTTAGGGGACTGGATGCCATGACTGTTGGTACACTCTAACTGTGAGGAGATGGGGTATTTTGCAGAGTGAAGCACTGTCTTGCACTCAAGCTTGCATAATCAAAACAAATACACCTGTAAGTATAAGAAGACTCAGACCACCAGGCAAGGGAACCATTTTCCATCACTGCACACAAGTATAATGCTACATTTCTGCTATTCCAAGACCCACAAAAGAAGCCCCAAATGAAGCAAGCGTATGTTGCTCCATCTGCATTATTTTGTTTAAACTTTCCTCTCTATTTTCTGCTTCATCTCCCTGAATTCACTTTAGTTTGATCTGAATCACAGTCTGGCCACATAGGTTAAAAGATGAGTGTTATCGCTTGCACAGCCATAATCAGGGGAAAGCAGGTTATATTGAAAATATGGGAAATCCAACAGTTCAATACTATCCAGGATCATGATGGTGCATCAACGTGGTACAGAAGAAAAGCAAGCACAGTTCCAAACAATCTGCAAATCCTTCTTGTCAATTCTTGGATTTATTATCCATACATCAAGTAATCTAACTTTGCTCAGTGTGCAGAAGATGAAAAGATTACATCTGGACAAAGGACCAGAGCAGTGATTAAGCCTCCTGCTTTTGATTAATAGCAGAGATAGACATATTTACCATCTGAGGTGGGGAAAGATTTGGCTCTGTTCAAGAAAGGTAAGAAATTATGAAGAAACAAAGCAGATTAATCCAAGTCAGCTGAAAATGCACAATGACTTCGCAAAAAGCCTGTCCCAACACGTAAGTTGTATCTCAGGATCAAATGGCTACAAGTGCTGGAACAGACAGAATACTTTCTAGCACAGCCTTTAGGGCAGAGAAAAATAAAATGAAGGAATGTGTCATCCGTTCAAACTACGAGGAAGAAGGGGAGGATACCTATAGTGGGGAGTTGCTCTTGCTTTCCCTCCCTCAAACCTGTTTTAAGTGAGCAGTCACTTCCCTCTTTTCGGTCATGACAAATGTGAAGCTACCTGGACAGCACTGACTTAAAACCTAACTGCTTTTACATCAAATGAGGCATGAAACCTATTATCAAAAAACATGATGTCCAAGTACAACCTGGCATTTCATTTTCTCAGAGAGAAAATTCAGAGCGCTTCTGAATGCCAGAATTGACTGTGAGGCACGACAGGAGGCTGGAAATGCAAAGTTAGTGATTCTTCCTGGGGCAGAGCAATAGTATGCTTGTGAGGCCAAGTTTGAGATAGGGCAGAATAAAGTGCTTTTATGAGCACCTGACACTGTTTTCTGAAGGTGGTTACAAAGCCCAGAAAATTGCTCATGTGTTAGCAGAGTGGTCCATAAGACCAACCCTATTCAATGTTGGTGTAAAAAGCACTGTTTTATGCAGAAAATCACCTAAATATCACTTTTGAAAAGAAAAGCCACAAAGCAAAGTCCCTAAGTAGGTCTTGTGCAGCATGGGGGTGATAATGCCTGGATAAGTGCGAGACTGAATATGAAGTCCCAGGAGCACAGAGACTGGATAATATCTGGAGCATTTTAACCTCTCTTCCTCACTACCACCACTGTAGCTCTCGTGTATCGTATGTGTGTACTGCACCTTATATTTTCTCCACCTCCTCTCTCCGCAGCGAGAAAGCTGCTGCACAGACATGCCAAGGACCAGTGCCACAGAGCTGTTAAAGCAATTTCATGATGACCCAAGGATTTCTTGGTCTTAGGGGAGATACTCTACTGTCCTGCAATACAGCCTCACTGATGGAAGTTCAGCCCCCCTTACTCATTCTCAGATGCAGCTGGCTTGCTATTCTGCCTCTGCTGCAAACTTATTCCAACAGTTACCCCCATTCACGCTTGTAAATGACACTATTTACAGTTCACGCTTTAGGGGAAAGATGCACTTTAGACCAGGGAAGAGGAAAAAATTCTTGCCTGTGGACCAAACCGTATTTAGTTAAGACTGCTACAGATTTCTTCCACCTTTCTTTGACTCACTGGAGACAATACAATGAACACAATGGGCCTGATCTGGTGTGAGAAATCCCCCCTTCACACATGGTGCCTCAATTAGATCAGTCACTTCCCTGACAGCTATTACCTTGCTCCAATTTGCTAACCACTCATTCTGACAGAGCTATATAAAGTGCACAGCAAATAGTTTATTCCAGGGAAGCAAGCAGGGTCCAGCCTGCTCCTTCGTCCCCCTCACAGCAGTGGCAAAAGAATAAGGCTGCAAAACACCCAGAGATGAGACAGCCTGAAGAGGGAAATTAAAAGGCACATACAGATATAAACCTTGACAGGTGAAAACGTTTGCTGTCGGAGGAAGATGCCAAGTCAATACCACATGCACCAGACACCAGGGTAAAGAGAGACAGACACAGGACATGAACTGTGGGGATTTCACAACAGAAAAAAACTCTGGCTTCACCACTTTTGATCTATGTACTTTTGCAATGAGACATTTCATCTGGGAGTCAGCTATATCCAGTGCTGGATTAACTTCTTGCTCCATGGCTTGACCTGTCACCCAGAGCATGACAGAGATGGGAGCTCAGAAAAGCTTATTTAGGAAACATAATAGATTGAGATAGATGTATTTCACATAAGCACTGTGTAATGCACCACGCTGCTTAGAGTTTAATTTCGGCTTGCCTTCTGCAAAAGAAATCCCTGGCAACTAAATAAAGCTTGTGTTTTCATCAATGTTGAACAATACTAATTCTTTTCATATTGGTAAATACTGCTCTGATAAGCATCACCGATATTTGTAACTGCATGTCAGCAGGATAGCCTTTGGGATACACTTTCCTTTGCTAGAAAACATTAGACACAGTCCCAGCCATTGCCTCCCATTGGAATATCTTTCATGCATAAAACTTCCTGGGGCCAGGACAGTGCAGATTTCTAGAATAGGGATAGCCTGTAAGCTGCTTAAATCCACTGCTTTAAACTGCACAAGGTAACTGGTTGCTGAGACCTTTCCGGTGTTGCAGCTGAAGGACCTCCAAGTCTGACATTGTTTTGGCAAAGCTATACAAAATTTTAGTATTTTCATTCTCATCTATTCACACTTTAGGAAGCAGAGAGTACAGAAACATTCAACAAAGTTGTGCAGTTACGTGGTAACCACAAAAGAAAACAGAGGTAGTTTTAAACTACAAACGTTTTTCTCCTTAAACTCATAAAGAGGGATCTAGTCTAGTAAGCAGCAGAGTATAACTTCCACTGATGCAATGATATACCACCAGTAAACTGCAAGGCTCTGGTGATCTCCTTGTGCTACATCTAAAAGAGACAGGTTAGACTTAATCCTCAGAGAGTAAGACAAGATCAAGTGGTACTCTTCAGCTTCCTCCAGAGAAATATTTTGATGAAGAATCATTTTATTCTTCCAAAGTCTGCGAGCTGAGAGAGAGCTGTAGAAGTAGCTGCCCTCCTGGTTGTATCAGTGTGCTCTCCATATTCTGCATTCTTCCATTGGGTTGCAGTAGGGCTTCTATTCCCACTAAAATGAAATCATGCAATTCTCTTGGCTAGACTCACAGAAACCCAGGAGCGAAGTATTAATTTTCTGAATAAGAATCAATATACTGCACAATCATTTTCCATGAATTATTTATTTTTTAAAAAAGAATATGCTAGCAATCACTTTGGTTCCTGCACCTCCCTTCCCACAACCTTCTGCGACAAGCTACTGCAATATGACATATCAAGGTGAGATTAACCAGTTCAGCTGTTTACCTGGTCTCCAAACAGTAGCAAATTGTACTACACTACTAACATTCCACAAACCTGCAATTATATCCAGTAGAGTGAAGGTGAACAAGTAATTGTAATGCTGCCTTTTAGCAGTGATGTCGCATCACTGACTGCCATGGAAGTACTCACTAATGTTGCGCAAACTCAAAGGGATGGAAGTCTTTGCTTTCAGCTACCATGGATACATTTGGAACAATCATTATTATTATGCTGGTAATGATCAACTATCACACAATATTGAGAAAAAGGAAATTAATTCCCATTAATATAAAACTAAGGAAAAAAATAACAGAAGACTACAAAAACAAGGGAAAATGCTTAGTGAATTACTGGGACCAGATGGCTTTTTTCGGTGTCTGAGGCTAGATAGAGTTCAATGTTTTTCTTCCCATAAGAGAAGTTATTTTCATGCAAAGGCCCTTCTAGCTCCAGCTGAAAAGCAACAGTTTGATTTGTATCTCAAAACCATCCGCCTAGCCAGGCTTCAGTAGTTCTCTCTAATGATAATTCCAATGATTTGTCAGATGGCTGTCCACAACTTGGATGGTGTTTAGCATGCACCTTAATTGCTTCATTTATAGGTTTGTACGTACAAGTGAGCACAGCTAATCCAAAGGAATGTCTCCACGTTTTAGCCTTCTTTTTCCATTGTCCCTCATAAAAATTAAAAACTATGAACAAGCTTGTAAGAATGGGTTTCAGCATGAGGAACAGGTGGTGGTAATGTCAGTTAAGTATTCCTGCAGGGGGAAGACTGGAAGCCTGCTGTAAATTATGGGAGCATTTCTGCAACTGAAAAACTCGCTTTTCATTGATGAAGCTGAGAAAGCCCTTTGACGACAAAGCCATTGGGGAGCTTCAAATCATATCACATCACTAAGTTTCCTTTCTCAATTTGTCTTGGAAAAACATTATTGCAAGCATATGTGCTTGCACGTAGCATGAACAAGCGACAGTGGCCTAGAAAGAACATATATATTTCCCCTTTCATCACAAATGCAATCTGAAGAGTCCCATACCCTGACACTTATCCAGGTCAAACTCCTCATATATTTATAGCAGGATAGCCTCACTTAAATACAATCCACTGAATGTAGGAAGCAAATAAATTAATTTTGCTCTTTGGAAAAACACCTCCTAAATAATCAATGGAATCATGACTTCCTCCTATGCATCAAGAAGTCACAAATCTATGCTCTGAAGGTCTGCAGGACTCAATTCAGTGAGGAAAAGATGAATTTCTGGGGCTATCCTCACAGAATCAGGGCTATAGTTTCTAAACGATGTTTTCAAAGTCCTTTTCTAATCTAATTTGTTCCCTAACTTGCAGCTTTTAGAGAATATCATTCTTGTAAGAGATCTCCATGGAGGATCTGAGGTGCACCACCTGAGAACACCACCTGACACTCCAGTGAGCAGAAAAATGTTTCTTGTTGATGAATTTTTCTGAGGCTGTTCCATCCCTATGCTCCAGTAATTGGTTTTGATAGAAAAAATGGAAATTCACAGGAAAATAGAAATCAGGTTCTTTCACTTTTTTGATTCACACGGATGGCTGCAGGGCATGGAACCACTGCTTTAATAGTTTCTTTGGGAGTTAATTATATCTTCATTTCCAATTACTCTTAATACACTCCAGTTTCCAAGATGCTAATCTTAGTCATAAGGAGAGTCCATTTCTTCAGATTTAAACCCAAAACATACAATCACCAACTTGATTTCCACAAGGAGAACCCTCTGCTCATTACTTTCACTGACCTTTGGGCCCGGTCTGTCATCTCCTCCTCCAGATCTAGCAGGAGTGCTGCCTGAGCCATCACCTTCTTGCTGCAGGGCAGGGATTTGAGGTGCAGAATGAGCAAACCAAGGCAAAACTTGCTTCCCATCTCCTCCAGCTCTTGAGTTCCCAGCTGCAGGCCCTGATGGTGAGAGGCAGAAAGTTTCAGTGCTGAGCGTGCATTTCAGAGGTACATGGAAAGGGTCAGTCCTGTTTTGCAGGAGGAACGCCTTTAGCATTCCTCTTTCCATTCTGAATTAGGGGTTCATTCAGGTTTGCTACATACGGAAATTTCCTCTACAGAATTATTTGCAAATTAACTGACAGCACTTGGTCTATTGAAACTATTCTAAAATAGCCTCTATTTTACAAATGGGGAAACTGTTTAACTGCCTTAACTGCATTCACAGAAGTCATCACTGTAAGAATTACTCAGACCCCAGCAGGGGTCTTTTCCACTTTTGCAAATCATTAGAAATCTTTTTTTTTTTTTCCTCTCTGCACGCGAGTCATCTCCCTAAGCAATGGGAAAAAATTGGTCCTGTGATTGCAAACACTGGGCAGTGGCAAAGATAAAAATGGAAGCGGGGGGTGAGCAGAAAGAAGGGAGGAAGGAATCTTTAACAAGTTATGAATTGGTTTTTAAGGAAATCAATTGCAAAGTAATTGCAAAATAACAAACACCTCTAAGGAATTTTTCAGTCTATTAAAAGCTGATGTCTCTCTAGCAGAGACAGAGAAACACAAACAGGGTTTGGATTATCAGGATCACCTTTCAAGAGAGAACTCCTCCAAGCTGTGGATTCATGTTTGGAAGAACCCTGATTATGAATAGTCTGTGTTTGTTTTTGTCACTAATTAAAAAAATAAAATAAAGATCTACGAAGGAAGGAACACACCAAGAGTCTGCATAAGCAAATGCAATTGATGGCAGTTTCATGCAAGCAATGAAAGGGCAGGAGACAAAGCAAGCTCAGATATACTGAAAAGAAACTAAGAAAGTGCAAAATCCCTTGTCTTCACCATTTAGTGACCGCAGCACATGCACTCCTTAATGCTAACATATCAGGGACTAAATCAATCTACGAACAATTGCCATCTCTCCCAATATCAGCCCTATGCTCTTTTGCAGCACAAAACATCTCTCTGTGCACAACCTTCCGACAGAGCTCCAGCTCCATTTCCAAGGCTGTTTCCTTAGCAACTCGCAGGAGCCCATGATCACAGCCCTGGCACTGGCCTCATGCCTGGTGTGAGCTTCACCCCAGCATGGCCTGCACTTGAATTTCTACTAGATATTTGTTAGTGGACATCCTATAGGTAATGTTCTGGTAATCCACAACACGAGGCTGAGTGTGATCTCGTGCTGATTTTTATCTTTTTTCCCCTCTATATAAAGTTGTCACATTTGTAAAGCACTTTGAGATACTTGGGTCTCAGCAGCTCTGTAAAACTGAAGGATTATTTCTGAACCAAGAGCATGCAGGTGGATGGAAGAAAGAAGAGATTTCTCACTTCTGCAGCTCTCTTGCAAAGCTTTTTTGGTGCATTTTCATTAGAGAATACAAACTGTTTGGTCAGGATGAAAACCACCACTTCATCTCTAGCAGTTCCAGCACATGCAAATATTACCTGGCATTACAAACACCCTATCTCATAACAAATATATTTTCTTATAGCATAGATGTTGCAATTCTGTTTCTTTTCTGAGATCCTGTGAGCAAAGCATGAATCTGTAATTATGATGATAAACACGAAAAACACAAAGTAATACAGATCACAAGCATATACTGAGTGGCTGGACAACTAGATAAGCACAGAAGAACACATAGACAATCTGAGAAAAAATGGCCTCAGTGTTAGGCAGGGTCTAGAGTATCTGGTAAACTAACATCTGCCCTCAGAACAGTCTCTTAAGTGGTTTTACCACAGTGGGCAAATTTGTGACACCTTTTCTTGTCTACATCCATCCACCTCCACCACAAGCTTTGCCAAGCAAGATCCAGGTACAATGAACTACAGCAATAACTAATACTAAGAAGAAAACAGAGGGAGAGGTGTATGGGAATCAAGGGTCATTAATGCAAAATAATGAGAGTGTTTAGCAGCTCTGCATAGATTCCTAAATGTTTTATTATTTGACTTTAAAAGACTTAAGATATTTTAGTGTGGCAGAAGCGGTGACATTTCTGAGAAAAAAATATGTCATTTCCACAGAAAAAGAGTTATTATCTCAGGGGCAAAAAATACAAAGAACATCTCACAGCTTTCCCTGGGGTGCATCTCAGGGTCTTGCTTCCAAGATCAAGGTAACATACTAAATACTTATCAATCCAGGAGATGCGAATAGTGACTGCGCTAAAACTCAGCCTGTGGCTTTATGATTCCCTGGAGCTTTATTCAGGATATGAAGAGGCCTTAAGAAACCATGAGCAGAGAAATAATAATAATAAAACCATAATATACCTCAGAAGCCTCAGACAATAATTGCTCATGCACTGAAGTTAGCTGCTCTACGATGGACCCATATTGCTTTGATACCAGACATCTCAGGAGTAACAGCTGGAAACCTCAGCTAGAGGATTACTTGTTAACATACTTTATTCACTTCCAACACAGTCAGACTTTTATTTTTTAACTGAGATGATTCTCTCCCTCTACTTTCTCCCTCCTCAGCCCTCAGCAGAGGGTGGAGCTGGAGGTGCATAGCACGACTACCATTAAACTGAAACTGTTAGCAGAACTGACACATTAAACTGATGTTATTGATGGCATCTGCCAGCAATGCCAGGAGCTGGTGTAGTGGTTAATAATTGCTCCCACTTGCATTTCTGAAAGGGAAGCCCAGTCTACAGGCATTTCCCTTGTAGCTGTGCAGCACACACCACTGCAAATATTTTAGGAACGTGCTTGCAACTCAGAGTTGTGAAGATATTCTACTAGAAATGCAGCAGAGAACAGTAGAAACGGTGCACCTTGGTCTAGTTAAGAAGCTAGTAGGAAGCACACCTCCTCCATGGCAGAAAAGCTGTCTTGCTTTTACATGTAGTGACATGGTCTGTTTGCCACAGCTGCACAGGAGGAAGCTGCTCTCTCTGCCTGACAGCACCTCCCCTGCAGTGTCCTGCTGCTCTAGATTCTCAGTGACCTCATCTTTCTCTCTAGCACAATGATTTACAGCTCTGTCCTCCTTTGGAGACGTCTATGTGAGCAGTGGAGCATGGTGCAAAGTCTTCCAAGCCAGCAGAATCTAAGCAAATTTTGAAGCAGGAAACAGTATCTCTGTACTAGAAAGCTGCAGACAAGCTCATCAGTTCTAATTAAGCCAGCCTCTGAAACATGCTAACAAAACTATCCTGTTTTGGTGATCAGCTCACATCTCCATAGTTTCTGCTCTCTATCACGTGAAACTACCAGTCTGGACCAGCATCAGCTTGATGCATCACACTCCATTGCACAAAACAAATTGGTCCCATGGGCTCTGACATGCTGTCTGTTGTAGGCACCATGTTGAGGGATAACAGGTTAATTGTCTCCTGGCTATTATAGAGAATAATAGAGCTAAACAACTTTTCCTAATCCCTTTTCAGATTTTCATACTACAACAGATAGCATGAGAGGAGGTGATGCCTAATAACAGTCCAAGTTTTGGATGTATTTATTTTTCAGGAGATGAAATAAATTCTAGAGGTGACACAGACAGGCAGATGAATGAAAAGACAGTCTATTAACTCTTGGTCTAGTTAAACCAACTGACACCATCATTGTAATAGAAAACTGGAGAGTAAGAAAAAAAAGCTATTTCTCCACTTAGCATTAGGCCAGGATGTTGTCAATACAAATTTTCCTAAACAAAATTGATCAAATCATACCTGCAAAATAGTTCATTCATGCTCAGCACAGATGCATCAAATAAATAACCACAACTAAATGTTTCCAATATCTCTCAACTTGCCCACAAAATACTTCACAGGCTAAATGACAGTGTAATGGAAAACTTTGCTATTCATTACTCATATGCTTTAAATACTCCTGCAGCCAAAGGTAGCAAGAGTTTCATAACACAGATATTTTTGGAGGGGGTGGCAGGACTCCAGAAGTTAAATTAGAAATTTTTCTACAAGCATAACTAAAGCTACAGTAAAATTAGAGTTGGAATATACTAATAAACGGAAGTAGACAGAAGGTTTTAGATGGATCAACTGTTTTCTAAAATGGATCTTTGGTGTGCACACGGCCGCTTCAGCGGCTTCTCCCATTTTTGGTCACTGTTCAGTCCTCAGGGCAACTGCTTTTTCCTGCAAATTCACTTCCAGTCAATACATATACTTACACAATTACAGAATATTCTCTGCATCTCAATAGCTTTACACATGCACAATTGTTATGCCCTAAGGCTGGGTATAAATAAATTGACAGCCTGGTTTCTCACTAATTCCATCAGTGAGCTCTCCCTCAGAATACTAATGGAAGCCATTCGGAAGCTCTAGAGGATAAACCAAAGAGCTGAATGAAACATTTGGTGCCTGGTGTGTGCAGCTTTAATTTTAGCTTAGGCCAGCCCTGAAGGTTACTGTCCTTTCCACCCCTTCAATGGAAGTATGCAGACGCATGCTGAGGAACTGGCTATTTAGACAGTTAGGACAGTAGGGAATAAACCAGGTTTTCTCATGCCCCAGAGATCCCTAAGGAGCAGGTATGGCATGTAAAACAGATGAAGTGGAGGGAATGGGCATGGGAATTTGGGCCAGAAGATTTCAAGAGGATTAAGCAAGTAGAAAGGCTGAAGTTACAAGAAAAAAATAGGCTAGCAGGAATTTCTAGAAAGAAAGATGAGAGGGGCTGGAGTTAGAGACAGAAGATAAAAGGATGGGAGAGATAAAAGGATGAGAAAGAAGGAGGGGTTGTTGAGGTCGGTGATGCTGATATAGACGAATGATAACAAGAAGAAAGCTAATGGAAACCTCTACCCCTTTCTCACCCTTAGAGAGGTGTGCCTGGCTCTGAACGTCTGTCCTCATTACATTTGGCACTTTGACCACACGGTGAGGAAGCAAGGCCTGGCTTGCTTTGAATCCCCTCACAAAAGTTTTGCTGAACTCAGCTGGTGTTTTTGGCTGAGAAAAGTTCTTGCGTACAGAA